GTCTGTTTTTTTGCACCGGTCCTGGAAGCACTGTAATACCAGGTCAATTCATGGAGTGGATGGAGCAAGCTCCAGTTCCACCACCCAATACCAAAAAAAAAATTTGCTCAATATAGACCTCCTATGGAGGACATATTAAAGACAATCACCTGTCCTGGGAAGCCCACCTACGCGGTCACAGTGCTTCCCCTGCCTACCACAAGAATAGGTTAGTGCATCCCATCTGGTTAAGATATAAAGTCCATTGTGTTTAGTCCCCTGCAGGACCAACTCTTTTTCAAGTCATGGTGAGCCACTATATCAAATACATTTCAACTTTCTCTTCACTCCCACAGCTGAGCTGTGCCTTTCTTTCCCATTTCCAAAGATTCCGGTTTCTTCACCAGCTTAAATATCTAGCAAACATCACCAAACTTCCATGTAGCTAAAAAACTCTGTCGCCCCTTCTCGCAGCCTGTTGCATGTGATTAGTGTGGCCCTGCCCTCTATAGGGTAGAGACAGACCAGGCAGCCCTGCACCTCAACTACGTATAAAGTTTTGGTGGGTCCCAGGACTTGTGACGGTATACCTGGTTCCAGCTGCAAGTGGGGGGCTAATTAGCAAGTGGAGACTTTGTGGGATATCTGGAGTACAGACTCATACTAAGCAGCACCAGGCTGTGGGGTTACAATGGCTTGAACTGCTGCTGACTCTCCAACCCAATGAACTATATGGTAAGACATGAGCCTTTTGCTTCTGAACTAATATCATGCCCCAAGGCATATGCTCAATGGGAGGGCAGAAAAAGAACTTCAGGGATGCCCTCACAGCCAGCTTAAAAAAATGCAACATCAGTGTCAACTCAGGGAATGCTATCACCCAGGACTACTCCAAATGGAGGAAGAATCTGTTGCAGGGATCTCAGTACTTTGAAACTTCCCAACAACAGAAGATGGAAAAGTGGGAGCAGCAAAAACAGCACGTCATGGACCAAATCAAGAATCCAGCCCCCTCCACTCCTCCCCCCAACATGGAAACACATGACAAAACTGCAATCCTGGATAGGCCTCATCAGCCATCTTCAGACACACAGATAAGAATCATGGAAGACAACCATCCTTAACTGTGAGGGATTCCCAAAGACTATCGTGCATAGTTTGTACTATGTACAGTTAGTTACAAAAATGCTGTTCAGCAGTGTATTTATGGAGTACCTATGCTGAAACTTGCAGCAGTTTGCAACAAGTTAGAATGCATGAATTCTGGAGAAATTTATCCATAGTAATTTTCATATATGCAAGTTACTATGGATATATTTATTGTGAAGTCAGTGGTGTTTTTGTCCCATGCATTTCAAATTAAAAAGTGAGGAAGGGGAGTAGGCGACTGCTGTGGTTCTGACTCCAGATAAGGGCTGGTCAGGCCCACCTCTTCCTCTCTTCTTCCCCCTGGCGCTTACAATGTGTGTACAGCTCACTTCCTTCCATTGTGCTTGGAGAGGGAAAATATCTTGAGCAGGGTCTGACAGTGGGTGGAGGAGGAGGAAGGCTACAGGGGAAAGAAGTGGGAAGGGCAGAGGGCAAAGGGGCCACCTGACCCCTGGAGCCACTATTTTCCTTGCTATTGCAGTGGGAGGGGACGGATTTAAGGCAACTGTCCGATATGACACCTGGAAAATTAGAACATATTTATCATTTTTTCATATCTAGAATCTAATTATTGGGAAGTCATCTTATATTCAAATAAATACAGTAAATTGAGTTTGGAAGATTCTGGTTCTGCTCCCAATTCTGTCACAGATTCCTGCATGATTTTGGGTAAGCCTCAGTTTCTGTGTACTTCAGTGTTGCAAATCTCCATTAAATACTTACTTCTCTTATACAACAACATGAAGATAAAGCCTCTAAGGGCTTGTGTACATCTGGAAGCTTTTAGCGTGTGAATTTGAAATCTAATAACAATTTCATACCAACTCCTCATGTGGATATGCATATTCAATGGTAAGAGTACCTTTCTGTGTTTTACCTTAATGCAGTTCCAAACCTAAGGCCTTCTTACTGCAAAACCAGTGTGGCAAAATGGGAAGCCAGTATGGAACAACTATTCCAGAACAGTTTTTCTGGGATACTTTCACATACAGACAAGCCCTGATATATCTGGCGGGCTTAAACAATACATAGAGGAAGGCCTTAAAAAAAATCAGTAAATAAATAATGATCTGTATACACTTACTTCGCAGTACTATGTAAATAATAAGGACAACAATAACAATTAAATATTACAGACACTTGTCCAAAGTCATGAGTCCATTCAGCTCATAAATAGGAGCACTTATCTAAATATTTGATATTAAAATATAAAGAAATATTTATCTTCTTGACACAATGACATAAACATTAATCATTTGGTGGAGACTGGAATACTTCTAAAGAAAATTAAAAATTAAAGTTGTTGTGCTTTTATAAAATAGAATATTTCAATATTACTAGTACCTTTAACTTTTCACCAGTGTAGAACAGATTGTCATTTCTCTACCAATTGAATCATATAGAAAGCACGTAGTATTTTTTGTATCTCTCTGTTCCACATAAAAGAATATAAAGTACAGTGCAAAGATCTGCATTCTATAGAACAGGGAGGTCCAGTTTCTGAGTGAGTACCTGGGACCACACACTATGTAGGCCATCAGGCCCCCACCCCTGAGCCACATGGGCAGTGTGGGCTCTCCCTATTCCTAGCCATGACCCCTACAACACATGTGCCCCTGCAGGTCAAGCCACAAGTCCCACAGGGGTGGGGGCAAGAAATAGAAGCTGGGAGATGGAAGGGGTGCAGCAGCAGCAAGAACAGTGGGAGAAGAGGCGGGTCAGGTCACCTCACAGCTCATCAGCTGGACGGTCCTGCTGTAGAATATATAATTTCTGTAGTTCAAATGATCGTGTGAAAATTCAAAACAATTAAATCTTAATTACCTTTAAGCATCGCCCTTCCAGCTGATCCTCCCAATATATTTAGAAGCCCACTTCTTGCTCCCAGTGATGTAGTTGCTTCTAGTAGAGCACCAGTAATACTGTTAGAGAGCGAAGTCCTGTGTAAAGTGGTACGGTATTGAAAGTGAGCACCTTGTACACATGTTTTTATACAATAGCCATCATCTTTGCATCTACAAACTGTATTTAACGTTGGAAGCTTTCTCAGAGGATAAGGAAAATATTTAAGAGTATCTTCTGCTTCCTCTTCTTCTCTCACTGCACTGAAGATCTGTAAAAAATAAAAATGTAGTATGTGTTAGTTCAGTTAATTATGGTAATGAGTTGAACCTGCTAAAAAAATACCATCCTAATTTCTTATAAAAGTTCAGTGGGCTTATAGAGCAAACACTGTACTAAAACATTACATTTATGCATTAGATGGAAAATTCTAAGAATCCATAATTGATTTGTAATCATTTTATTAGGGATCTTAAACTGGCTACTTAAATAAAGGTGTTTTCTAATGGGGTGCTTTAAAAACAGTGCTTTAAAGCCTTCTAATCAAACAGGTTTTAATGACTGCTATATTGTTGAAGTATAACACAAATTCAATCAGCATTTAAATGAAATATAATTAATATTATTAAGTATACTATTATATAAGACTAGACATTATGTTATGTTGTCAATAAAGGCTTATGGATATCAATAACAACAGCACAGCAGTTAAAAGTTTGCTTTTTATTTTGAGAAGTGAGATTAAAATGGATTAAGACAAATGGTTTTAATCAATATGAAAAATATTTCAAAATATCTAGTCTCAAGCTTATTAGTCTACGCCTAGCATATATACTGGTTCCCTAATATTGGTTTAGTACTTTTTTTCAAGTCATGTTCAAACAGTAACGAATTTCAGTCTGTGGCTTAGCAACTAAGTAATTTTTGTTTAGTTTATAGAGCTAATAATGGTCAAAGTAAAACGCTGCCAGAAATCTTTTTATGTAATATGTAAGGGAACACTTGATCTTTTACTTTCTTATATGGTTAGCTTGCTAATTAATGTTAACAATTTACTTTAATGATTTAGTTTCTGATATTAAATAGTGTGAATTAGATAACCAAAAGTTTATGTAGCAAAAGCTCAATTTAATGCTTACCTGTATTGATGGTAAGATACAAAACACATAGCAGTATGTGCTATTTACACTTTTGCAGTTAAATTAGTAATGCTAGTTAAGAAATCTACTCTATTTGTCATTGTTAATTCCAAATTCCACATTTAGCCAATTTATAATCAATTGAATATAATCTTATAAATAAAAACATAACATAGACTAAGGAGGCAGTTTTACAAGTATGAGACTGATACAGACTTAGTTGTTTTCTTTTTAATAAATTATTACATTAACTTTGGTTCTCCTTCCTCTCCACCCTCTCAGATGGTCAATTTTGATAAGCCTGGAGGCAACCTTTTCAGGCCCCACTTCCTGCATATTACTCTCACCAGACTCTTCCATCATTATCTTCAGGTTTCAGTGTAAGAGTATTGAGGTCAGGTACTTGACACTTTGTTTCTCCTTTTCACCAGCAAATCTATTCAGATTTTTTTTTATTTATTGTGTTACCATCTTAGGCAAAGTGGCTGCTTCTCCCTGAGCTATACTGGGCCTAATTCTTCCTCTTGTTTTCTCTTTTGTACAGTTATAGAAATCTGAAATAATAATGATATATAAACAAACCTTGATAAAGACCTTTGAATGCTACAGAAGTACAAAAGGAATATGGTGATGCTGTGATTCACATTTTCCCCTCCCCACAACTGCCACAACTAGATGAGCTCTAGATCAGTGTTTTTCAACCCATGACTCACGACCCAAAAGTGGGTTGCAAGAATATATGAAAGGGTCACAAACAAACTTTAAAAATGGATTTTCCTTTAAAGGAGAAAAACGTGGGAAACTGTGGCTTTTCCCTTGCAGGCTGTCAAGAGTTCCAGCCTGTAGCGGGCTGCTTGGGGCTCCCCCTGCCCAACACACCCACACCATGCCCCTCACACTGTGGGGCCTGGTGGTGGGGGCAGCAGGTTGGGAGTGAGGGGCATTGGGTCAGGACTAGCCATCGATGTTTGCAAATGGGTCCTAGTACAAAAAAGATTGAGAACCACTGCTCTAGACGACTTCTACAAATGGCTTACATGAACTGCCCTTGTGTGTCACATTTTTGAACCTGGAATTTTTATGTGATTTCATGTTACACTTACTGATTAAAATACTGCCAATAAATGTGTGCACAAGGTTTTGATTTACTTCAATGGCATCCCATGCTCTATTTTGTTTTTAAATATATTGTAACAACGAGGAATGAAACAGTAATGATCTGTCTTTTATTTCTTTATTGCCATTTACCTTGTCATGTGGCATTATGAACACAGTTTTATAATATTACAGCTGGACTCAACTGATAGGTATGTTCATGGTTATAACATGCTTAAAAGTCAGTCTAAAAGTGATTTGAAGACATGCATAGAAAGTTATAAATTAATCTGGTAGTATTTTTCTAACACCTGAAAGCAGTCCTGCAAGTTCTTCACTCAGGCAAAAATATATGCTGAAAGCAATAGAAGTTTTGGCTACATGCTGTAAAATTTAGGAACCAATTAATATAATAGAATTCACTTTGAGTCCTAACATTTGGGCCTCAAATATAATGCAATATCTATATATATAAAGGGTTTCGTCCATCTGTCTGTGTCTGACTGTCTGCCCATAATGCTCTTGGAGTTCTCTGACTGGTTGTCTCAGCAGACAATCACAATGCTTCCTGAAACAAACAGAGTGCTCCACACAAGCAGAGTGCTCCACGAAGTGCCGCCATGACAGCAGGGATGGATTAGGGGGATGAGGCCAGCAGCGCCCCCCCACCCTGCTCCTTAGAGATGGCAGTGCCTCAGGGTGCTGGTAGAGGGAACAGTCAGGACAGAGTGCGACAGCGAAGTGCTGCCATGACAGCAGAGATGGAGGAGGGGCGAGGCCAGTGGTGCTGGCCTCACCCCCCCCACTTCATCCCAGTAGTGCTCCACCGTCCCACTCTGTCCCCACTGTTCCCTCTGGCCCTGGAGGTGGTGCAGGGTGCTGGCAAAAGGGGACAGAGGGGACAGCAGGGCAAGCCTCCCTCCTCTGCTCCTGGGAGGCAGCAGCAACATGAGGTTGTGGGTGGCGGCACTCTGTCCTCGCCCCCCACCTCCCTGCCATTTTTGATGGGAAATTTGTTAGTACAGGAGTATAAATATTTTGATCTTAAATTTTTATCCACAGCATTACAACTTTTTGAAAGCAGTTCAATTTGAATTAAATTACAGTAATTCACTTAAATAGTAATATAATGAATGACTCCTGGACAGAAACTGCTATGCTTATTAATACAAAATATAAACTACAAATTTCTCCCTATGGATTTCCTCTTTTTCACAACACCATGAGTGTAATAGGATACTGAAACACAGGCATGAAAGCCTGTCAGCTTCCCATAATGTATTCTCCCTCAGCATATTTTTTACTTTTTTTTTAAAACAAATAAATTGCAGCACTTAGGTTTTAACAGGGTCACTTTAACAGCAGCTTTATGAACTTTATGCAATCTATAATAGTATAAAGTTAGTTTGTTCAGCCATGGCAAGCTTGAACATCAGGTCCCAGTCTACAACTTTTCATAGTCTCTGGCAAGGAAGAAAGAATCAAAGAAACCAGGGAAGAAACCCAAGAGGGAGCTTTGTCTGGATAGGATATGTTCAAAACATAGCCCTAGCCTCCCCCTTATTCCAGTGGTGGTATGGAAGAAGGAGTTAAGCATATACCACACCACTCCCAAAAAATGCTGGATCCACAGAGACATACCTCATCTTCCTAGTTTGTTTTAAAATATGTTTAGTTAATTCAAATAATGTAATATCTCAATACTGTAGTCACCTTCCAAAATATTTTTAAAAATAGGTCTGCAATTCATAAAGGCATGTTTTGTTGCCTATACTAAACTAAAGTTTCTCTCAGCTGCCAAAGCAAAGAAGCCATTTGTTGACAGAAATGGGCGACAGTGTTTTGTTGGGGAGATTATATATAGAATAATGGTGTTAATCTCTATTGTATAAAGTAGACTTCTGGGCCCTGACTCTCCAAAGACTCTGTGCTTCATATAACATTTTCAAATACTGTCTGTTTTGATGTGTTAAAGCACTGGAGGGATAACTCCTGCTTTAAAATACTGACTGGTGCTATATATACATCAGGGGTGTCAAACTCACCTTGGCTTTCAGGCCAGATCTGGATCACAGGGGCTCTTTGTGGGCCAGGTTTGAACTGGGGCAGTGGCCACAGTCACTGACTTGTACACATGTACATTTCTAGGACCAGATCATTAGTAATATGAAAATGTTTGTGCATTTTATGTAATCAGTTTGCATGTTTCTTCTAGAAACTTTTTCTGTTGCTGATATTAGGTATCAATAACTAAGTCCTTTATTTTAACCAGAGTTCTGCTTCCCCATAACGATATAAAAGAGGCCCTTTAGTTTCACTTATTGCTCTGTTTTCTGAATACCCTATTTCAACAAAAGAGGCACACAAGGAATATCATGGACTTAAATGCTAGCAATATGCAGTTAACTTAGAGCTTTATAATTCTTTCACATAAAATGCAACAGTTTCCCAGCTATGCTAATACCCAAGTATAACCAATACCCACAAGATAATAACTGACTAAATGTTTCCCCAAGCAAAATAGAAGTGATATTGGTAGAAAGAAAAAAACACTTTGAATACCAGAGTAATATTGAACTGTGGGCTCCCATCCTCAGATTGCCAAGTTGGTATATAGCCTAGATGCCCTTTTGGACTTTTTATTGTTACTGAACATCCTAACAGAAAAAGCCAAAACCAGAACCTTCTGGCTTGGGAGTTGGCAACCTATGGCTAACAAGGCAAATCCAGCGTATGGCAACTCAGGGAGTCAGAAGCACACTTCAGCCAGGACAGCAGAAGCAGCATCTCCAGGGTCCTACTGCCTACCATGTTCAGTTTATTCCTATTGCTGAGGCAGTAGCAGCAACAGCACAGGAGGCATCTCCTGGGTCATACTGCCTGCTTTCTTGGGTACTCCCTCAGGGGGGTGCAAGAATTTGCTCCCACAGGCCACTGCTTGCAACACAGCCCTTGCTGCAGGCTTCAAAAGTTTGCCAATGCCTGTTCTACTTGGCTAGCTACAAGAGCATGGTCCATTTAGACAGGTGTGAACTTC